GCCCTATTGGAATCCTTAGGATTCCTTTTACCAGGCACCACGTGCCCATGAATACTACCACCTCTATAAAGAACGTCCTGGCTACCACAGCCTGCCTGGATTTCCCAATCTCACTCACCTGGACGCTCTGTTATTCTACTCTACCTGGTGGAACATGTGTCACTTTGGTGTGCGGTACCCACGGCTACATTTGTCTGGCCTGAGACCTGGAAAATTGTTATCTTGCTTACTCTGGGGTTCCTGACAGCCTGACAGAAGGTGCCATCCTGAACCTTGTGTGTCAGCCTCAGCAGCTAGGTCAGGTTCCCCTTGTAGGCTCAATGCCAGAGCTTTGCCTCTCCCTGCCGTCTGTAGCATTCGATAGCTTTCTATAGCTACCACAGCGAATACCGAAGTACAGCAAAGAGGCTACTGCAATAATTGAGACAGAGTGCTAAGGACCAGACAACAGGGACTGAGTGGAAAGGCTAACATTAGAGGCCCTGCACTCGGAGGAAATAAGTGAATAGTTTTAGGAACTAACCAAACAGAGGAGATGGAAATAGGCAAGGAAGAGTCCAAGGACTCCATGGTTCTTTGACTGGATGCCAAGGAAAGCCATGTCTGCAATAGCAAGGATAGCTGGGGCTGGCAAGGGATCTGTTTTTCTTTGGAACGGGTTTGTACGTAGTACTTTTCCACTCCGTCGTTCTTCACTCTCTGTGCTCATTCACAGCATGCATCAGCACCTTACCTCTCTAGAATGAAAGCTCCACGAGGGCAGGAACCTTGCTCGCTTATTCACTGCAGAATACCTGGCTCTAGCACAGTGCCTGGCAGGTACAATATTTTCAATGAGGTATATGTAGACTGTACGAGTGGGTTTTGAGTTAACATGCGGTTCCCAAGCAGTGCTGCCCATCAGGTGCTTGGGCAGAAGTGCCTGGGCTGCTGAGGGAGCCTGGGTTTAAGAGATGGGGTTACTGAGGGGCTGTAAGGTACATACAGCATTGGGAATGTAGTCAATAATACGATAATATCTATGTATAGTGCCAGGTGGGTACTAGGCGAGTCAGGGAATCACTTCGTAAATTATATAACTGTCTGGCCAATTTCAGGCTGTACACCTGAAATTAATATAAAATAGTACTAAATGTCAACTGTAATTGAAAAATTTAAAAGGGTTGGGGGAAGTGAAGGGGAATAAGAGGTTTAAACTTCCAGGTATATAACAAATAAGTCGTGGGGATGTAATGTACAGCATGGGGAATATAGTCCATAATATTGCGATAGCGTGGTAGGGTGTCAGATGGTTGCTGGACTTACTGTGGTGCTCGCTTCTTTAGGTATATAAATGTTGAATAAGCACCCCTGAAACTAATATAATATTTTATGTTAGCTATATCTTAATAACAATCTTTTTAAAAAAAGAAATGTGGGTACAGAGAAGAGAGGTGCGCTGAGGAAGGGCACATTCAGAGAAAGACTTAGGGGAGATGAGAAAGGGAAGACGGGGGGCAAAGAGAGAAAGAAAAGCGAAAGGCCAGACAATGACACCTTTTGTAAATCAAGGGAGGACTAATCAGTAATGGCAGGTGCTGTAGAGGCTGAAATGAACGAAAATGAGAGAAGACTAAATTTCACGATGAGGAGGCTTGGCGTAGCCTCAGGAGGCTACTAGACGCCGGGTGACTGAAGTGGGAAAGGGAATGAGATCGGAGGGAACGTGGAAGCAGCAGATACAGGTTTGGTCTGGATGGTAACAGACTATGCAGAAGTTGGAGGAATAACTATGATAGGGTGTTTGTATTCTTAGCTTTGGGGAGGTGAAAGTGTATTTAAAGATACAGAGAGAGGAACTTCAGCAACTCCCCCCATCCCCCTCCCCCAAAAAAGGGGAAGAAATGATTATGTAAGGGAAAAAGTGTAAATGATATTTGAAGTTCTAGAGGAAAGGAAGGGGTAGAACCTAGAGATTACGTGGGACCAAAGGAGCAGTAACAAAGAGAGGCATCTGGGGAAAGTAAACGGAAAAGGGGGCTATTCTCCTGCCCTAGAACCTAACAGCCTATGGACCAACCTAAATCAGAGGTAAAGACACAGGTAACTTTCTGCTTTAAAACGAGGCCAGAGCACTTGAAGTTGGGGCACAGGCCCAGCCTGCCTTACAGGAGAAGATGGCCTTTCATAATACAGTTGACTCCAGGACCACCACAGCAGGCCAAGGACAGGACCCCGCCCAACCTCTACCACCACAGCAAACGTGAGATTACAATGGCAATTATTTCAATGGCATTAATACATCAGCGCTGCATCCTATCTACTTGCCATTAAAAATGCCTACAGCAGAAACCTAGACCAGGAAAAGTGGTGTGAATAATCGCTGTGCAGTGGGACACGGAAAGGCACATGTCCACATGACTCTAAAGCCAGGAGTTTAAGGGAAGGAAAAACAGAAGGGCTACTTTTCTTGGAAGGACTTCATCTTCTTTCATTTCCCAAGACATTGCGGGTCTTGCCTAAGGTGTGCTTTGTAGTTTGCCAGATAGCACATGGCCTTGGTCATACCCAAACATGTTGCCAGGTTTCCTTGTTTCTGAGATAATTTATTAAAGAAGCAAACACATTTCTCTTGGTTATTTCCAACTGCATCAGATTTCCTCTAGATTTGACATCTTTCCTCAATGTGAAAAAAACATGACCTACCATTTTGTGCTTCCCTTAACTTAGATTTTATACTTTTAGGCACTCCACAAAGCTCAGCAGAAACTTAAGCCTTAAAATAAACATATGTTTAAGGTGATGATGAAATACTTTATAATGGGACACTTGATAACCTCTTATAAAACTCAAGTAAAACAATAGTAATATGGGTTTAAAAAGAAGTCATGCAAGTAAATGTAGGAGGCAAATTCACAAAAGCATTATTAACACATCTACGTGGGTTGTTTTTATTCTATTAAGTCACAATTTTGATGAAGAAAAAACACAAAGAGGCATCTAACAATTTCCTCAGGTTTTAATGTGGTTTGGTAGTGTTTAGGAACTTGGGATACAGTATCCATCAATAACTTCTTGAAGCTCAAGTTTATATAAAATCCTGTGCGAATTTGAAAAGGAAAAAGAGAACCCAAAGATGGCCAGGCTATCCTGAGTAAATATGGGATAACATAAAACAGCAGTTAAGGCTGTTTAAAATGACTTTTCTTAAATATTCAGGGTTGGCAGAAATATGTTACAGCTTCCTCACTGTTAAAATAATTAAAAAGAGGTGACAAAGAAAGATGAAAGGGCATTTCTCTGTAGCTGTCTTTTCTACTTTAGAGAGAGAGAGTCAGCAGTGCAGTTTCGGGTAAAGGGCAGGAAAAACAACTGAAGAGACTTCCATCCTCTCTTGTCAGTATCTTAATGCTACTGTCTGGAGCCCTACTCCCATCTTGAGTAGCCGTGGTAACGTGAAGAGCCAGGTTCTCCTGATGCTTTGGGAAACGTGGGTGGGAGGCACTTAGGAAGGCCAGTGTGGTTCCAGTCACAACTGAAGAACAAGGGAGAAGAAGGTGCCCAACAGGGGTTGGAAGGAGTCAAGGACCGACAACAGAATCTGGACCTGAAAGCACCTTGGACTTCAACTCACTCAGCTCTGATCTGACTTGCTCAAGGTAACACAGCACGTTGGCAGCAAAAACACTACTAGAACCCAGGTGTCCTCGCTCAGCACAGCATTCTGTCCACCACTTCCCACTGCTCGTAATCCAAGAAGCCAATTATGAACGAAAGAGGGCTCAGTAACCAAGCTATCATTATTTCCCTCTAAGCCAAGTCTCTTTTCTGTTTCTACCTTTTTATTATGGGAATTTTCCAATATCTGTAAGTATTGAAATGAGAATAATACACCCCAAGGATCCATCACTTAGTTTAAGCAATTACCAACTCATGGCCAATCTTCTTTCATCTATACCCACCCCTCTTTCAGGATTATTTTGAAACAAATCCCAGACATAGTATCATGATTTCTTTTTAAATATTAAATGCCCAAATAAATTACATAGCTGCAAACGCATCGGAGACAACTTTCTTTAGGAAGCCCTGGTGTTTCCATTCCGTATCCTGTGCTACTTGTGGTATTATCAATCTTATTTCACAGCTCTAGAGCTAAAGGCCAGCTCTTATCTCAGCACAGACCAGTAAGATAAGCTCTGTGACCCTCCACATACAGTGACAATATTAGGCTTTGGTGCAATAAGGAATTTTGATGAAGAGGCTGTGCTGGACTATGAGCATGGAAAAATCTGAACTTACGTCAATATATACTAACAAAATACCACTGATACTGAACACTAATTTAAATCGGGCTTAATTGGCCTGAGATTGAAAGTCAGCTTCCACCATGAGTCCACACGAAAGGTACTAAATAACACAATTCTTAAGGTTTAACAAACCCACAAAATAAAATAACAATAATAAATTTTTCACACCAATGGAGTTATGACTCCACTAAGACAGAGACCAATTATTTGTCCTAAAGGCATGATGGAAATGTAAAATTAAACAATAAATATAGCAACACTTTTCTTTCATACTGCCATTCAAATTTTGCCCTCAGAACAAATGCATTAAAAAAAGACATTAAAAACATTTTTAATTAACAAATAGGATTGTGCTGCTGAAACTAAGTAGATAAATAATAATGTGTGTGATTTGTGTGTGTATGTGTGTGTATAAATGGATAACTGCAGCAGCTACAATGTTGACAAGTAACATTTCCACTTCTCATTTTCTACATCACCTCCCCCTCTCTATGCATCAGTATTTTATATGAATCGACAAATATATATACATATATACACATATATATAATATATAAAACAAGAATATATTTGAAAGCCAAAGTGAGTAGAAAAAGAAGGCAAATGAAAAAAAAACCAAAACGAAATAAAAACAACCCTGCAATACACAATTTTTTACCTTTTGAAGAATTTAACAATTGATCTTCTCTTCTATCAAAGTTATAATATTCGTACCTGCTGAGGTTTCTCTAAATTTGTCACTGGTCTTCTTTTTCCTCCATTTCCAAGGCTTAAAGATTTTACCAATGGTGGAGAGCTTCCCCTTTCTCTTGAAGGGAGGTGTTTGGGAACCTGGTGTTGGGCCATCTGAGTTTGCTATAGAAGCTTTATCCAGTCCATCAACTGCATAGAGAAAAATAAAGTCAGAGAAAAGCTGTAATGAAAGTGAGAAACAACACCATCTATTGTGCCCTGCACCGTCCATAGTGAGCATACCCATTTTGATTGGAATCTTAAAGTTTTTCTGCCCCATTTTCCAGCTGGTAGAACTCCCCTGATATCAATCATTCAATCAATCAATCAGAAATCATAGTCCTGTCAGATAATCATTTGGGGGAATAAAAAAGAAGAGAATTACATAATAGGTAGGGCCAGACACAGAAGGGTCTGTGAAACACAGCTGAACCCATGTGCGACAACTACATCAATATTTTGTGCAGGAATAAAATAGTCTTAAGTATTTCAGAAATAAGATGTCCATCTGGAGGCTAGTTTGGCATTCTCAATGAAAATTTCACTTATGGCGTAGTAAAACTATGGTTTTACCAAACAAAATTTAGTGCCAAGAAGCTAAATTCTAATTTTTACAAAGCTAAAACTACCTTTTGCTTCTATTCAAATAAGTTTTCAGCTTCGAATAAACTGACTGCCATTACTACTGACAATATGTGGAAACTGTGAATATTGTGTAAGGTAGAACATATCTTTATGTGCCTTAATCATTTCATTAGTCAGAAGAAAGGCCCAAAACCATAAGCTGCATTGCATTATATTCAAAATAGAAGGAAGACAGAGATGACTTATATTACCCCAACTATCAAATTTTAATGGCAAATAACTGGAAGCAGCTCAGAATGGATCAACTACAGTATTAGTCATAGAATGAAAGAGCACTCAACATTTTTATAAAAATGAGCCACTGATACATACAACAAGAACAAGCATCTCAAAAACATTGTGCTGTAAAAAAAAAAAGCAACAAAAGAGTACATACTGTGTGATTCTATTTATGTGAAGTTCTAGAAGGGGCAAAATTAATTTATGGCAAAACAAACAAACAAAAAAAAGAAGAAAAAAATTCAGAACAGTAGTTACTTCTTGGGGTGAGACGGAGGTGGGAATTAATTAAGAAGAGGCATGAGGGAACGCTCTGGGGTGATGGAAATTACCTCAATGAGGGATGGATTATACAAAACACATCAAATGGTAATTAGGATATTGTGTATTTCACTTTATGTAAAATTTACCTTTAAAAAAAGCCCATAAATAAGTAGTGAAGTCCAATTAATGATGCACGCTGAAATGTTTAGGGGTGAAGTGTACTGAAGTCCACCAAAAAATAATAAATGGATGGATAGATGGAATGGACAGATAAATATACAATAAAGTGAAATATGGCAAAATGTTAAGTGTTGAATCTAGGTGGTGGATATGTGACGGTTAACTAAAAGTCTTTAATCCTCACAACTCTTTAAACAAAATATCAGGAAAAACAAAACAAATAAAACAAAAATGGAATGGCAAGGACTTCTGCTTGCAGAAAGATGGAGCAGGCTTAATTCTGTCCTAGTCTTTCTGCTAAATACAACTAAAAACAACCTGGGTGTTACATATAAAAAAAAACCAGTATAAGGCTCTGCAAGGTGAAAAGAATGTAGACCAGCCTGGGACCCCAGGACCCAAGAAACAATATGGCGCTAAGATCTCTGGGTTTTCTGTTTGTCTCGTATATCCCAGACTTGTAGCTGAAGCTGTCACCAACCTGAAAAGACCAATGGTCACAGACGAAACAAGCCTCAACAAAAGCTGCTCTCTCTAGCTAAAGGAGCAGGAAAGGAACAGCCTAGCAAGACAGAAAACTTTTAAAGAAATGACTGCTTTACTCCAGCCAAACACCACAGAAGAAACTGTGACCATCCATGTCAGCAAAGGTGAGTGGGGAGACTAGACTTTTACCCTCAGGAAGCTCTAATATGGAGCTTGCTGTCAGAGAAGACCAAGGAGGGCCCTTATGACTGCCGGCTGGTAATGACGCATCCTCTACAGTGCCAGCGGAGACGATGTGGGAGCTTGACTTCCAGCCCTACCTGGCAGTAACAAGGTATCTTCCTTCTTTCCTTCCCCCTAATACTGGGGTGGTATCAAGCCACTGCCCAGTGGGAACAAGGCCACCCCCACTCACTGTGGTGTCAGTGGAAACCACATGGGTGTCTGGAAATCCCACCATGCCCAACGGTAACAAGGAATCACCACCACCCCCATTTCTGCCACCAGGTATCAACAGAAGATGAATGGGGAACCTGGATTTTTCCTTCTACCTGGCAGTAATGAGGTGGTACGCCTTGCTTCACTTTCTGGAGAGATGTCATGCACAGCCAGTTAAAACAAGCGTTTCAATAAAATTAAGTTTTATCACATAATACAAAAATGTCTAAGTTTCAATCAAAAGTTACTTGACATACTAAGAACCAGGAAAATCTTAAACTGAATGAAAAAAGACAATCAATACATGCCAATGCCTAAATCCTATGAGTACTGCCAAACAAGAAGGATGAACCCATTCTTGCCATTAGTAAGGTCTAGCCTGATTTCAGGTGGAAATGCAAGTTCTTCGGTGTATGGCTCCTAGTCCTACTTCACCCTGCCCACGTTGACCACAGTGCAACAGGCGTAGAGAGATACGCAACAGACTGATGGTGAAGCTAAGCCAGAGTAAAAAAGTGAAATCCTTACTTATTTCACTTCCACTCCTGTCCAACGGCTTTCCTTAAACTCGAGGCAAACCCAGGGAGGAACTAAATGTATATGGTGTCTCTTCTTCATTGAGACTTCATGCTGAAGGCCTTAATTTTGAACAGTTTAAATGTTGTGAAATATAAAAGGGTTGACTATTACAAACATAGGAAGTAAAGTTTCCATCTCAAAATCACCTCTGTGGCTACAGACACACACACATCTAGTTCTCATTTTTTCTCAACCCACATATCCAGTTCCTTGACACTCCATAAAAATTCTGCTTTGGACCCGAACCATTTAAGAACAGTCTATTTTTCTCCTGAAAACAAAAAATCAACAAAGAAAAACAAAAATTGAATAATTCCCTAGGTGACAGATGGGGAGATTGAGGGAGTTGGTGAGTGAAAAATGAAAGTCTTAATGTTAAATTCATAGCTGCATAATAAATTAACAGCCATTATCTTTCTTTATTATGCAATTACAATTCTAGTCTTTATCTCTACTCTGGAAAGGGCCTGCCTGGGCCAGTGCCAAAGACCACACCAGCACGCACGTACACACACACACTAACACACACACACTTTTTCCTAATTGAATGAGTCCACCTGTAATTTTCTAATTGTTGGGCTATTATAATAAACCACACTTGCGATTAGAAACCATATGTTGGCACAAATTGCCATTGCACTCCTCTTACACCATGAACATAAAGGGGATTGTCACCTGCTTTTGAGTAATATAAACACAACATCAACTCTCTCCTTTCCTCCAAACATGTAAGGTACTGCCAATGCCACTGATATTTCTCTAATTTTTTCTTTTGGACCAATTTACCATTCAAATTAGTTTAAAACTTTCTAAAAAATTTTTTTTCACAGATCTAGTGAATTTAGCATTTACATGCAGCTAAAAACAAATTGCCAGGTGAATCCCAGATGAAAGCCTAAATTTAATGACTTTTAAATGTTAATTTTTATCCACTATCATGATAAAAGGAGTGATCTGTCATTTATCAAAACTTTTCCTCTCACACTTGAGATCAGCATTTTAAAATATTTAAAGCATTATTGAAATATTTTGAAATAGAGTAAAGAAAAGAAATACAGGCATTTGTTGTTCGAATGTACACAGTTTAAATGACACAGCTCAGTCTATTTTCCCACTGAAACAAGCTCACACACCTAACAAGACTTCTCCACGCCACAAACTGATAAGAATTCAGAGATAACATGCAGGTTTTATTTTTCATTTAAACAGAAATTTATCAATTAAGCAGTCCCACTGCAAACGTGACCATGCAAACCAAAACTGGATGTGGCTAGATAATTACCATATAAAACAAATTACAGGTTTGGATAGTCTTCCCTCTGAGATATGAGAATTGAATGACAAGGATTCTTAGAAAAATAAATCTAATATGAGAGTTTGTAGCATTTTTGTAATATTAGATGGCTATGTGATAGTTTAGATATTTATTTTAGATTTTTCTCCACACATAATTATTTTAGTCACTGAGGAAGTGAGACAAATGCAGCAGAGTATTCCACCTCTCACAATTTTGCAGGTAAAAGTTCATTTAGAAAAGAACCTCAATAAAAGAACTCCTGGTACGGATTCTGTACAGACCGATAACCACTCTGTGCAAAAGCAGGTGACAAAGTTGATCTCAGCTTTCCTCTAAATATCCCTAACTATCTGAAGGTTAATGAGACTACATCTGTGAAGTCCAACAACAACAAAAACAATTACAGAGAAATCATATGTGGTTAAAATGCTTCGAAAATATTCTGCTGTGCTAAGTATATGCTTACAACATTACGCATAGTGATTTCATTGTACCGAAGAAAAATATACCCATTAAAAGGGCATTATACAAAAACATCTGACATTTAAAAATCAAGAACTTAAAGAAAGCAAAAAAAAAACAAAAAAAACAAGCAAACCAACCTTTATTTCCTTAAAATATGGTTTCTGGGCTATTTTACTTTTTATTTTGAAATAAAAAGTTTAATTAAATATTAAAAGGTGGAATGTAATAACATATATATACAGTATTCAGTAATATAATAAAAAATAAAACATCAATATGAAATAGTGATTATTCTAGAAATTGAAGGCTGATTCAATATTTTAAGAATGAATACAATTCATTATACTACAAATTTAAGAAAAACAATATGACTGTCTTAATAGATGCAGGAAAAGGACAGGACAAAATTCCACATCCAATCATGATGTGCACTCTCATTATAGCAGGAACAGGAGAACTTCCATAAGCTGATCAAGTGAATAAAGCTGACAGCTAACAGCATACTTCATGGTAAAAGACAGCCTCCCCCTGCGATCTGGCACTTGACAAGGATACTCTCACCACACCCAAGCAGGAG